TCTTTGTGGTAGTTTTGGCCTTTTTTGTGGTGATTTTGTGTCTCTTTGTAGTAGTTTTGGCCTTTTTTGTGGTGATTTTATGTCTCTTTGTGGTGATTTTGTGTCTCTTTGTGGTAGTTTTGGCCCTTTTTGTTGCGACCAGACTTGTGCCACTGTGTGAGTTTACGACGTCGTTCCTCTCAGACAGAACTGTGAAGTGTCTGCAGAGTCCATGTGTGCTACCTGACAGAGGTCCAGTTTCTGAGAGATTAACTTGGCGCTGACATCCTCTCCCCGGTTCCTTTGAGGCAGCAGATTGTAGAAGTCCTTCAGGAGGCCCACCGCCGTGTCCAAGTGTTTGTCCAGGTTCTTCTGAGCTTGAAGCAGCAAACCCTCGGCTCTGCTCACCTGCACTCACAGAGAACAAACAGGAGTTACTGGGATTCTTGGAAGGTCTGTTATTATCGTAGAAATAATATACAAACCATGTTTTACTATTGTGACTATATCACATACTTATAGTGGTATTCTAATCATACAATTAATTATTATTGAGCTTAAAGAGCAACTTGCAGGTTGAAGTTGTCAGAACATTTTTATAATATTAGAAAAAAGAATGTGTGCTACTGCAGGAATCAAAACAAAACGACTGTTTTTGTGGTAATTTTGTCTCTTTTGTGGTGACTTTGGGGCTCTTTGTGTTAATTCCAGGCCCTTCTGGGGTGATTTTGAGTCTTTGTGGTGATTTTGCATCTTTCATGGATATAAATAGTCGGACTTGAAAATTTCACAGCCACAGGCGAGTTAAAATAGACTGTATCAGAAAAGTATTTTTCACAGACCGAGCCATATCTATGAGAGGATCCAGTGGTCTTCTGGAGGTAAAATAGTCCGTCCATTTTGTAGAACTTGTTCTGACCAACCACCATCACACATGCTGATATGAGCCTGGGAAGTTTACCCAGAATGCACTTTGTAAAGTTTTCTCTGGTGAATGATCAGAAACCAGAAACACATCCAGGGTACCACTGATTGTTTCTATGACTCTACATCATAGACATTAAACTGTTACCACAATGATACATCCCATAATACTGATGCTACCAGCTGGTACGCAAACACACACACACACAGCAGAAACAGTTCTAGTGATTCCTTGGAAGGTCTGATGCTGCTTTCATCAGAACCGTCCTCGGGGAAACGCTCACGTCGTTGAGGCTGAGCTTGGTGATGGGAACTGAGAGGATGTTTCCAAGGCAACCCAGAGCCTCCGTCCACAGCAGCTCCACGAACACGCCAACCTCCTGAGACAAGCTTCCAGCGTTCAGCTTCTCCTCCAGCAGCAGCTGCCATTAAAACAGAGCACAACTCAATCAACTACAATCGGATTTACTTCAGTCAGGCCATAAAACGTCTGCAGAAAATACAAAGTCGCGCCCTTAGCCTCTTAAGCTCTCGTCTGATGTGCATTTTTTTATTTCTCTTTACTATTTGGGCGTATTGGAACCTGATACGTATAAAAACTAAATATGGTAGTCATAGATCATCGTAACAGATGGTCGTGTAAGTGTCCACACACGTGACCATAAAGCCCCAGTTAAGCAGAATTAGCTGCTGTGGTAACATAACCCAAAATGCCAGGTCTCAGAGTTTAGAACAGTCGATTCTCTCACACACGGGTCCGTCCAGTTCACTTCCTTCTTATTTAGAACCCACAACTAAGTTCTGTACTTGTTCTATACTCAGGCTGAGTTTTGAGAATTTCATGTTTTCAGGAGTTTTGTATTTTTACCCTCAAGCAAACAAACAAACAAACAAACAAACAAACAAACAAACAAACCCATGTCGGCACTTTAAGGGTTCGATCTCTCAAGAAATCTGATGAGGACGGACAGAATAGTGTCGAGCAGATTCAAATTATGGAGAACAGACTTTTCATTATTGCTCTTTGAAAATGGGAAGTGCAAAGTTTTCAATCCAGGCTGGTGTTGAACCCCAGAAAGTGTCTGTCTATGGATGGATCCATGGTTCTTTGGCCACGTTTCACCAACTGTTGAGGCTCTAACATCAGTAGATGGTAGACAGAAAGTTCCTGTCGGTGTCTATCGATGGATGGACCAATGTTTCCACTGAAATACAGTCTTTGGTAACATTTTACCAACTGTTGAGGCTCTAACATCAGTAGGAGTTGACTTGTGGCAAATAAAACAAGGCAAGGTCCTGTTTTTTTTTCTCATTGGTTCGGGGAAAAAAATGTTAAAATATATACGAATATATACAATTCCAACATGTAAGAAACCACAGAATTTAGCATTATGAGCTCCAGTGTGGCACCCTTTTGTGCTTTGAATGACACTCAGCAGTACAAATAAAGCAGTGAAGCCACATGTAAAGGCTGTCGGACCTGCTGGAGGGAGGAGGAAACCAGATCCTGGTTCTGCGAGGGAAGAGCACTGCTCTGCTTCATACCAGAAGCCTTCATTTTCTCCGTTGTGCCCTGATACACCTGCACAGCATCCTCCGAGGTGGGCGGAAATATCAGTATACACTTGATCGCCTGCTCGTCCTTCTTCTGTTGGCACAAACACAGAAACAGGTTTGATTACTGTCCGAGTTCCTCTTTTTATCAAGTCTGACCCACGTTCTCAATGATAAACTCTGACTTAAGAATCAATTAAACGTTACTACAGACGTAAAAACAAAATAAAAAAACACCTAAAAAACAAAAACACATCAAGAAATCTCGGTTCAAAAGGAATGTAAACTTGAAGGAGTAATTCTTGGAGAAATTGCAGGTGTGATTGCTGATGTGCTTATGCACCAAATGGCAGTCCAGAGTACCCGGCCTTCTTGGAGTCTTTGGGTGGTGTCCTGGAAGGGGTGCCGCCTGGGGACTCCATAGTTCTCCTGGGGGACTTCAATGCTCACGTGGGCAATGACGGTGAAACCTGGAGGGGCGTGATTGGGAGGAACGGCCTGCCCGATCTGAACCCGAGCGGTGTTCTGTTTCAGACTTCTGTGCTAGCCACGGATTGACTATAACGAACACCATAAGGTTGCTCACAAGTGTACCTGGTACCAAGTGAGGGAGCTGAAGTATCCCGGAATCTTGTTCACGAGTGATGGAGCACGAGGTGGACAGGCAGCTCGGTGCGGCATCCGCAGTAATGCGGGCGCTGTACCGGACCGTCGTGGTGAAGATTTACCAGTCCGTCTACATCCCAGCCCTCACCTATGGTCACCAGCTTTGGGTCGTGACCAAAAGAACGAGATCGCGGATACAAGCGGCCGAAATGAGCTTCCTCTGCAGCGTGGCTGGGCTCAGCCTTAGAGATAAGGTGAGGAGCTTGGACATCTGGAGGGAGCTCGGAGTAGAACCGCTGCTCCTTCACATCGAAAGGAGCCAGTTGAGGGGGTTTGGACCTCTGATTCCTCTGGAGGTTGTCCAAACACGTCCACCTGGGAAGAGACCCCGGGGCAGACCCAGAACCCGCTGGAGGGATTATATCTCTCGGCTGGCCTGGGAACGCCTCGGGATCCCCCAGGAAGAGCTGGAAAGCGTTGCCGGGGGGGAGGGAAGTCTGGAATGAGCTGCTCTGCTTGTTGCCTCCGCGACCCAACCCCGGAAAAGCCGAAGAAAATGGATGGATGGACAAGCAGCATAAGCACACAACAGTGATGTGACAAATTTACAAGAAGGTTTGCAACAGAAACTTAAATTACTTTTTGGTTGTTTTGAAAACCAGATCATAAAAAAAAAACCTTCCAAGACACGAGCACGAGCAGAAACGTACTAAAACCCTTCCCACCTTCTCTCCTGCACTGGGCAGCTCGTGTATGACCACTCGATACTGTCGTCCCGTCTCAGCTTTGCCGCTCTGCAGCTCCACAGCACCCCAAGTGTTGCTTCTTTTCTGCACATAAATGATTTTTTATTAATAATTACCACATGATGACATTATTAGTCGAAATCAAATAAACAAAACGCAGCTTTACCTCTTGAAAAATGAAATATTTGGCCACTTGGAAATTATCAGGAAATGCTGGAAGGTCAGAATCGGCGTCGGTGTAAGCTCTGTGAAATTGAAACAACAAAACATTATTTCATCGCTGTATTTTGAAGTAGATTCAAATTATGGAGAACAAATTTTAAATCACTGGCCCTTGAAGATGCAAAAAGTGCAAAATTTTCAATCCAGCCTGGTGTTGATCTCTAGAAAGTTCCTGCTAGTGTCTATCTATGGATGGATCCATGTTTCTATTAAAATCCAGTCTTTGGTCACATTTCACCAACCGTTGAGGCTCGAACATCAGTAGGAGTTGATTTGAGGCAAATAAAACAAAACAAGGTTCCAGTTTTTTGTTCCTATTCTGACATCTCACCAACTATTGAGGCTCTAACATCAGTAGAATCTGATTTATGGCAAATAAAGCAAAACTTTTGACAGAGTTTGACATGAAACGTGTCCAAAAACGTTTGTCTGAAATGACTTAAAAATAACCCAAAATGTACAATAATGAATAATTCTTAGAAGGTCTGAATGTTTCTAACTTTGGTGGTGTTGTGTCTCTAGAAAGTTCCTGTCAGTGTCTTTCTATGGATGGATCCATGTTTCTACTAAAATCCAGTCTTTGGTTGACGTTTCACCAACTGTTGAGGCTCTAACATCACGTTGGGCTGTTATTCATGTTTCTGAAGCTGTTCTAGCCTTATGGGGAGCTGATTGTGCTGCCGGGGGAGGCTGCTGGTCACATGTTGGGGTGTACGGTGTTGAAGAATCCTGCATTCTAACAAGATACCGTCACTCCACCGGTGAGCGGTTGTGCTGTTGTGCTGTACATCACTGCGCTGATCGATCACACCGCTACGTGTCTCCATCCTGAGGTGAGCAGGATGTTGTTAATACCTGAACTTGTGCAGGATGTTTCCGCTGCTCTCTGGAGGTTCTTCCCGCGGCGTCGGGATGACAGAGTCCATGGGTTTGGTTTGGTCTTTGGTCAGAATCGCATGTTCTGCAAAAGAACGAAATGCATTTAAAACACAGAAAACACACCTTTAGCTGAGCATGTAGCTCAACCTGCTGGCCGGGTTGTTAATCTCAGTGTCTACAACGTGTGCCAACACAACGCTATTGACCGGCGGTGACAAGATAAGAAACCGATGATTTGTGTCCGTGCAAATAAAGGCAGCGACTGGGAGGAATCCTGAGTCTTTGTGTCGGACCTGGGTGGGTCTCTGGTTTGGATTTAGCTCAGAACAAAGGACAGAAACGTCAAGGTGAGGTTTGAACCCGACGGCATCGGGCTGCAGAATCAGAAACCACAGACTTTTACATTGTTATTGCAGCAAAGAAGACAATGCAAACGTTTAAGGAATATCAGATTTGTTTTTAAATGTACAAATATTCACAAATCAGAGCTATGAACGTGTTGATGTTGCACCAAAAAGAACTACGACAGTTTCTGGTGCAACATCAACACATTTAAAGCTGAACGTTATTAATTTAAAAACTCTGAGATGTTAATTTATTCATGTAATTTATTTTATTTTATTTTTATTGTTTATTTAGTTATTTATTTCCTAATAATATTTCAATTATTATTACCCTTGTTTTAATGGTATTACCAACTTATTTATTTATTTATTTATTTTTTTATCTTGAATTTTTAACAGGGAATTTTCAGCACTTTTATAATTTTATTTGTATTCAATAATATTTATTGTGTTGATTTATTTTGTAAATCTCTGACCATACTTAACCCTTTTCTTTTTTTGGCCTGTCTGTAAAGCACTTAGTAAATTTTGATTTTATATTATAGGTATTACATAAATAAAGTAAATATTATTCTATTATTAATATTTTAAAGACAAAA